GGAATTGAACCCAGGTCTTCTGGAAGAACAGCCAGTGATCTTAATCACTGAGCCATCTCTTCGGCCCCCAAGAACTTAGTTTTGAAGTAAAATCTATCAGTTTGATTTTTCACACATTATATTTGAGGTTTATCTAACTATTTTCCAAGTCAGTTTTCATACCTCAAACACTGCTTACAAGATTTATCATTAATTTTTCATACCTTGTATTTGAAATTTTTTCCCCTGTGTTTTCTTCTCCTTTTGCTTTTCTGAACTTTTTTTACTTGGACACAGTATTTTCTTTTACATTTTTCCATTAGCATGCTTTTCCTTTTGTCTGGAGGACACATCATGTCTTCCTCTCTGAGGAGACAATACAGATACAGCTTCCTATGTCCCCACCAAGTCTGGGATGCTTCCTGCTCCTAGACCGGCAACACACTGATGTGAACCTGGTTTTATCAGCGCAGACAGCTACTGTGATAGGAGACCTTCAACCTAAATACTGTTTACCATCTAAGTTCCCTCTGTAGTGTGGCTAAATCTTATGGGTTGCAAGTTATACACAAAACAAGCTTTCAGTTAAATACATTCTCTGGAACATTCTTCAGTCAGTATTTGGTACATGATAAGCACTATTATCATCTTTTCTCTCTCTATGGACGTCACTGACAGCCAACAGCTAACCCTTTAGCTGGAGGAGAGATGCTGGGAACAGCTGTTAACCCTTTTCTCTCTGGAGCACTCACATCAGAATGAACAGATGTTAGGTCACATAAAATTCTTTTGCCTTGATCTCTTAGACATAATTCCCATGATGAACTTTTTACTGAAAGAAACCTGCTCACGAGTCCACAGACTTGAATCTGAATCTTTCCCCCTCAACTTTGCCAACATTATTTTTCATTAGCATTCAATATCCTATTTTACTAGATTAGGTATAAAAGGAGGCTTTTGAATGGCAGTCCTATTTCTAAGCAATCAAGCTTCTCTATAGGCCTTCCATAAGAACAGAAGGACACTACCCCACCCAATGGAAGCTATGGACAGAGAAGTCTCCTTTTCACCTGCTCATGCTGCTGGTGGATACCAGAGCCTAAGCACGGGGGTGGGGGTGGGGGTGGGGGCGGGGTTGGGGCTTCCCTTAACTACGCAGCTTAAAGCACACAGCTCTTTCTCATCCTTCATCAGGCACTGTGGATGCCTTGACCTTACCTGTGACCATGACGGGCACCAAGGAGATCACATTTCTGCTCTCTCGTAGTGAGGAGCGCACTTCAGTCCTTGTTGGCTGAACAAACAACAAAGCACACCTAGCAAAAAGATGTGCCAGCACCCACAGAATGTGAGCAAGGAGTCAAAGCCTCCATGCCTGAAGGGCGAGGCAGGGGCCAGAGTGAAGAGAAAGCAGCAGTTAACGATCAACAGGTGTTTGGAGGCAATGAGCACAGAGACCCAGCTGCGCGGCTTCCAGGACCTGCCATGCGGTCAGTATTGCCAGGTTATCTGATTCGATATCAGAAATTCACATTACAGAGGTGGGATGACCGTGAGAACGTCAGGCATTTAAATTTTTCTAATAACAAATTTGTTAAAAAAAAAAAAAACTAATCTAAATAACTGTCCCTCCTCCCACACGGACACCTCTATTTGTTCTGTCTAGTACTGCATAAGCTTATCACTGTCCCGCGGTCCAGAGCCCTACTGCAGACCTACTATAAAGCTGTGTGTTTTATGAGGTGCAGACAATCCGAGTGTAGAAGCAAGACAATTGCAAAAACAGATGAGCCGGCTCTAAAAATAGTCTGCAGAAAGCAACGGAGACACTCTATCCCAAATGTTGCTGGAGTAGCTGGAAGTTTTAAAAGGAACTCTTGGAGAGGCAATGGCTATTTTTTGAATGCATAAGGAAAAAAAAATCTCAGGAGCATCTGTGCGGCTAGAGGAAATAATTTTACCTCCTGGAAATTTAAAAATGAGTGAATGAGAAAATAAATTCCGCATTGCCATTGACAGTTCTTTTGAGGCTATTAAAGAAATTAAGATCAAGGATAGGTTTTGTTGGCACAACTTACTTGGTCATGGATAAATACGACCCCAGTTACGTTGACCAAACTCCAATCTAGTGATGTTTCTCCCTGGAAATGACAAGACAAGCCCATTTTACAGGACCGCACTATTGTACAACTAGTAATAAAAACAGGCCAGGCACAGGTTCGATGTGAGAGGCACCTGCCACGCACCTAGCAAATACCGCACAGCCTCATCCAGGTAATGTGGAGTTGGAGGTGGGCTCATACCCACATCTGCCCCATGAATGTGGAGACTAAGTAGAAACGGCTTGTTTCTCATTCGTGATTCTTTGGGCCAGCCATTGAGCCTAGGCTCAGCTGTCAGGCGTGTGGCTCATGCTGCTTTGCAGCTCTGACTCAGAAGTGCTCTGGGCAGAGTGTGCTAAAAGGGACTCCCCCACGTAGGGGTCAGGGCTTAGGAGTTGTTATTCTTCTGGACCTGGACTGGAGAGCTGACTTTCAGGCAGGACTGTGAATCCGTGGCTAGCGACTCAGGGGTCTGAGTGAAACAGAGGGAGAGGCTGGTGGCATGAGGTGTCTGGCAGGACAGTGGGCGGGAAGTACTTCTATGTTACGCCAGTGCCTAGCCCAGAAGGTATCCACCGCAGGAAACACTTATAACCAGAGGGATCAGGGTGATGATCACCTCAGCTATCAGGGTATTGTTTCTATATTCTGTGTATGAAGGGGCCACAGCTGCATGCACGAGACGCAGCAGGAACTCCACAGCACAGACTTCTTTCACCGAGACAGACATGGCAAATGCGAGCACTGAGCTGGGGAGCGGAACGTCCTGACGAGACAAAAATGCAAGGAGCCCGATACAGTGGTGCATCTCGGGAGAGCACCTGGCAGCTCACAGCAGAAGACCTTGCTGTCCACTCAAGGGGAAATTGCTGATGACCAGCTGGGAGCAGAAGCCGCTCAAGCTTCGCATACATGATGGTGAACAAGAGACCCTGCCTCAAAGTGGAATGCTTGGACTGACAGACAGCTGCAGCTGTCGCTGACCTCCGTACGTGAACCCACACAGCCATGCATGTACATAGACATGTATAAGCAGGCACACACAACACACACCAAGCGAGCAGTGGTCTAGATATGCTATGAACTAAGGTGTTAATATTTTACAATCAACTACAGTTGATATCAAGCACCATGCTAGGGAGTTCCAAGAAGATATTCTCCCCTTTTTATTTCTCTTTTACAGAAACCCTCAAAGTTGGCTATTCCCCACTTTAGAAGACTCTAGATACTATGATCTGAAAACAACCAAATGTCCAAAAGGTTAAAAAAAAAAAGTAATTTTGACCTTTCATTCATCACCCACAAATGTACATCCAAGAAAATGTTTCTGCACATATTCAAAGAAAAAGATGGGCAGGGTGTCTTCTTAAGTGCATTAAAATGAATTTTAATAAAGCTATTTCAATTTAAGCAAGGAACTTGAATGCCAAATATCAATGTGAAATGACATAAAACAAACACATTATGAACATGCAGAAATCTGGATCTACAATGGGAATCTTGACAGCGTCTAAAATCAAACAGCACTCAATCACTAATCTTCTCTGAGAGTAAGATTTGTCCCCTGCTGGGCCTATAATTTTGTTTTCTCTTTTTGTGCTGTTCATGTGTAAATATTGCCAATTTCATTTGACACAAAGAAGGAAAACAACTTAATTTTGTTTCTAAGCTAATGAATGCCGCGGAGTTCCCTCTAGGGGAGGTGGTGTGATATACGCTTCCTGACAATGATTGGGGGGAAAGACAAGCCATTTCAAATGTTTGTAACAAGGAAACAAATTTATTGATTTTTAAAAGACAAGACACCATTTTGTTTTGAAAAACACAAGAAAGCTAGCCTGAGTTCAAGTCTGAAATATTCAGAAAAAATCCTACTAATATCTTTAGTATGTTCCAGTCATTTGTTTAAACAACACACTAAAAGTTAATATATATTTTTATAATTATAAAAGTTCCCCAGTTATTGTACAGTACACAATACAAATCGCCCACAAACTAGTATTTAGCTCCTGCCAATCTTGAGAGGACATGGTATACTAAAAGATTTAGCGTTTCTCACAAAAATCACATCAGGAAATACGTATTTACAAAATCAAATACATTATACAAAAAACCATCACATGTTATTCGGTAAAGATGTTTTTAAATAATTAAAAAGTTTATTCAACTGTAGTCCAAAAACTGGAAAAGAACATTACATTATCTCACACATACAATCTCTACAAAAGTTGCTTACCTCATTTACATAATATATTCAGTCGATTGTAAAATAAATGCTCAAATATCTCCTAGTGTTACTATGTTGTGTGCTTGTGGGACTGAAGAATGTAATCTGCCACTTACTAAGTGAAGTTTAAATGATGGCACTTAAAAAAAAATACAGTATTAAAAAAAAAAAACACAACGAAAGAAGTTTTACCTAGAAGGTACGAAAGCCCTGAGTGATAGTGGAGTCACTGATTGGTAAGCGCTACAATTAACCTAATTAAAAGTTTCCCACCTCAGGCACAAATTCCCAAGTGTTCTCAAGGCACTCACTTAAGTTTCTGGAGCCAACGCATTGGTCGCCACCATAGGCCCAATCGATGACGGAGATGAGCAGAGAAGAGAATCTGCTTTGGTACAGAAGATGCTTCTGAAACGAATAGAATTTAATACCTTCCTTAGCGGCTCAGAGAAAATTGCGTATGGTAGGCTAAAACAAGGCAATCGTTTGCTCAGAAATGCTAATTTACTCCAGGAAAATTTACTTGGTTATCAAAAGTCAATCAGAGTTTTATTTTTGCTTTCCTCCCCAAAATCAAACTTCTCACGGAGGATTTGTTATCCTCATTACTGAACTACATAAATGATTCTTACCAAATATTTCATTACTCAGGGCTTCCAATCCCAACGTCATACTTTATTTTAAAAAAAAAGAAAGAAAGAAAACAAAGGAAAGAAGGGGAAAAGATTCAAATATCAGAACCAAATAAAAGAGACAAAATATTTCTTTTAAGAAGACATATCACCAATCCCTTTAAACAAAAGGAGAATTGATCCTAGGCAGTCACTTTGTAAGCGGCTTTTACTATTTAAGTAAAATTGGTAAACTAAACTCAGGTCTACTGGCACATAAAATCACTAGCAGCAATGGGCAAGGCATGCAAACTGAGAAGCATTTACAGTAAATCATCATGGAGAGTCAAAAGAAGAGAGCTAAAGGAAAACCCTTTGAGGATTGCATGTTGACACACGAGTAATTTGCATGGTCTGACTTCCTCAACTGCCTAAAAAGCAATGTGCGGACACTTGCACTATGCTACGGATGTCAGCAGACATCGGAGTAGGTTACACTCCCATTTGCGCCCAGCGAGGGCAGTGTGGGCACACAAGCAGACAACATTGCTCTGTGGTCTGTCACACGGGGGAGGACCAGATCAACTGTCCAGAAGTTCCCTCGGAGAAATCAGCAATGTTGTACGCAGAATGACACTCAGATATATCTGAAGCAGTAGTCACAGCATCTCCCGACAGAAGAGCTCAGAGCAAGGGACTGCCTTGCTCGCCACTCTGTCTCTCTCTGACTTATTAGTATTAACGCATTGGGGCACAGATACAAGGATGCCCCGTAAGAATTTCCAAACAGTATTTTATGACAGATGCAACTTCAAAGACCTAACTATCCCAAGTTCAGTTGTGTTTAAAGGAACTCATTTCTTCCTAAGGCTCCACTTACATTTGTACTTTCTAAAGCTAAATAAATGAGATCTTCTGTTTTGGGAAAAAAGAAGAAATGTAACCCTTTATTTTATTATACCTTTTAAAGGCAATCAGGTATCTCCAGTGTGCAGAAATCAGTTACGACATAGGCCTGCACAGGCCAATGTCTGTGTCCTCCTTTTCTAGAGAGTCACGTGATGCTAGAAAAGCTGATTTTTGTCTTCTGTAAACAGTACACTTACTTAGATGGCAGTGAATATTTGGGAATAAATATATCAAGCCCTCTTGAAGTAAAATTAAGAGTTGTATATAAAATGCAAGTGTTCGGCATGGAGACACTTTCTTTTCTGACCCCCCCTTTAAAAAACAGTGTAATTAGACATTTGGATATAGAGGCTATTTTACTTTTTTAAGTCTAAATAAATGATCTGAAAGGCTTTTATCCCCCATTGTATATCTTACAATGCTCAAAGGGTTAATACAAGGCATTACAGCAAAGGGCTTTTCTAAGACTAGAACTCAGCACCGAATTAATGCTTCAATTCCAGTCTTATAAAAATCACCAGACTCGCAGAAATACTAGGGTTCTGTTAAGGGGTTTGCTCTACCGTGGACATGGAGGTTGCTCTGACCCAGTCACAGCCCGGTGTTCAACAACACTGCATGCCAGCCCTCCTCCCCCATACTCTGACACGATCCACAGAGATCAGAGAGTTCTGATTTTCATTTCTGAATGGTTTGATTTGCTCAAAATAATTTGGGGAGAGGGAGGTTATGACAAAGTCAATCTGTTACAGATAACCACTGCCTCACCTTGTGTACAAATGTGACTAGTCAAGTTTTTGACTTTTTACTGTGTCCACACAAGGAGGACCATCACAGTCACACACTTGTTTGTTTTTACACCGATGCTGCAAGCACAGCGTTATTTTAGACATTTCAAATAATAATAGTCTTTTAAAAACTGAAAATGCATTAAGCACTTCTAGAGAGTGTGTCCATGTAAAAAGACCCATGAGGACAACATGGAAGCGGTACTCACTCCTGATTGACATCTCCAGCATTCTGCAAGAACGTGCTCAATTCTGCACATCTACTACAAATCAAAGGCAGTTAATGTTGCACACTACTAACTTTATGTATGCAGCGCGAAAACCATCTGTGTATTTTACCTCTGTTTTTAAAGTACACCATCTAAAGAGAGGTGCATGAACCGTGCTATACAGTACAAGGGAAATCATGAAAAGGAACGCAGATTTCTGAAAAGGCAGTAAGACTCACACAGTCAATCCAGACATGATTTGGATGCAAATCCTTAGTAACTTGGTATCCAAAGGAAATAAAACATCAAAAACTGGGCCCTGTGTTCCCAGGAGAAGGTTCACCTATTCCACTCATTGTTCACTGGTTTTGGAAGTGCAAATCTTTTGACTATAATTCTTCAAGTGTTTGCTAATATTAAACAATTCCTATAATATTCGATTGTATTACATGGAGATAGCTCTTCTGAAATGTACCAACAGCTCATGCACCTCCCTTCCCTTTTCCTCACCGGAAGTGTAGCACTTGGTTTGCACCCATGTATTTCAGGATTATCATTTGATTCCGATGTCAAGAAATACCAGAAGTCCTTAAAATCTGTATTGTGTCAATAAGTCCACAATGAAGTCTCAATGTAATGCGGATTTTTAGAAAAGTCAGTTTCTGGGAATGGAAAATGGAAACAAATCTTAAATGACTGCAACACATGTGATTGTTCTAGTTTATGCCTGCATATGAATTACTGTTTTGTTGTCTAATATATTTCACAATTCAAATCCAAAATTGATGTGTGTCCAAGTGTGTACTACAAATAGCTAGAAGTGTCATAAGCCATTGGTGTTCTGTTGTGTGCACTGGCTAGAACTAGCTACACTAGTGTAATAGGATTAATGTTTCTAAATATTTATAGAAGATTTCAGGATATTTTCAAGTCAATTCCAATTATAACAAGGCTTATTAATATCTCCTCTGTCCTACTTTAGAATAAACCATGAACAAGTGGAAGAAATGTGGAATTCTGGAGGGCCACTCAGTCCCTCACTCTGATGAGTCTATATCTATCCATTGTTAGCAGATTCCTTTCATGATACAAGTATCTCCAACATTAAATTAAATGAAGCAGTGATACAAATACATTTAAAAAAATCAACCAATAAACACAGTGACACCAGTAGTTACATTTGGTCCAATACAGACACGACGCCATCTGTTGATGACAGGTAGAGACAGGAAATGGAAAGTCTCAGGAGGGAGAATTAAAATGAAGAGAGCTATGTGATGATTTAAATTTTATGTGTAAACATTCTCTAACTCACAATGAAGTAGATCCATGGTCTTTTGGAGCTTATGATGGATTATGCAGGGGAGGGGTTTGCAAATTCATTGCCTTTGGGAATCTTCAGTAAATGAAGTCATGCTTGGATGCCAGTGAAGACAAGTGTAAGTTCCTCGATACAAAATCAGAACCCACTAAAAACTATGTTTATGACATTTTAATGTAAGAAATGCTGTTGATCTTCAGAAGTTTGAGACAATCAGGCAATAACAGTTTCAATACACTGTGTTTCCTGATAAGCCATTTGGTATTTTTAACTTTCCAGATTGGTGCAGCCTTATCTCCTTAACCACACTCCCCACCCAACTCAACTGGAAAGATGAAGTCTTCATTTTAATACAGGCCTCAGTAGTGATCTAAACATCATTTTGTGCTTTCCTTTTCTTTTTTGGCTTTATTGATTTCCTTACTTATTGACTTTCACTGATTTATTTTTATAGTTACTTAAACGAAAGAATGTGTCCTATTTTGTTGTTGTTGTTAATTTGAGTTCTGAAAAGAACCTTGGTTTTCATGCAAAATAAAACATGAGGAGCCTGTGCTCTTTAGGGTCTCACCTTCTGACTGTAGCAGACTCCTGCTCCATGTGTGTGCGTGCATGCATGGGTGAGTGCGTGCGCGTGTGTGTGCGCATGTGTGCGTGTGTATACAGAGACACACAGACACACAGACAGACATGTAGACTGAAAAGATGCACTTCAATAAGTACCTGCTCATTCTGTTAGCTTTCCAGAATTGTGACTAGATAAGAATGGTCTACAACATATGACCTTTATGTAACATGTTTGTATGAAAACTAGCCTGTTAGTCCACACCCTTAGCAATCTGATTTATAATCAAGTGATATTCAGCTCCAAGGATAAAACATAGACAAGTCCACTCCCAGTCACTCAGAGAGAAACTGAAGTTTTTGTCTCTTTGTGTTGCTTCATTTTCCCCTCAATTCCCCTTGAAGAGCATGCGGCCTGTCCTTACTTCAGGAGTCTGAGCACGACAGGCACACTTTACCAAATGGGTTGAAGAGTTATTCGCGAACAAAATAAACCTTACTAAACCTTAGCTCAGTTCTGTTTTAAGGCACCATGTAATAGCCGAGGTACGATGATCCCTGATGTACATTCTTCAATGGCAATGGTCCATCCAGCCACCTATCCACATCCTACAGAATCGGGGTCAGCAACAGTGAGGTGTGCCAGTCACACTGCCTTCAGGTTCTGTGTGAAATTTAAATCCATGTACTTTAGAAACCAGGAAATAACAATATGCAGGTCGCTACATTCCTCGCATTCTATACATTTTTTATAATAGCAGCATATTGAACTACTATTAGAAAAAAGACCTGGAATAAAAGAAAGTCATCCAAATGGAATAGTTTCCTGTATGTCCAGCTCAGTATAAGTAGCATGTACACTTAAAAAAAAAAGTCAAGTCATTTTTCAGCTTCAGTATCTAACTATAACAGCCCCACTTAACAGCAGAATGCATCTGTGCAGTGGTCCCAATACAGAATCAGTAGTCTTTAAACAGAGGAATTGGTATGTAAATAATAGCTAAAAGTCAATGTCTAACGGAAGCTTGCATTGTTAACATGGTTTAATAGTTATGTACACAAATTATGTACATATTAGCATAATCTCTTGCCATTCTGTCATTTACCCTGAACTGATAAATGCACAGCTCATTTTTTTTCAGAGAAAAATAGATGACCTTCCCAACCCTCTACCATTATAATAAAAACGCTCTGTATTCTCTCCATACTCCAAAATGTTATCAAAATAGTGTCTTATGATTCTGTCCAATGAAAAGCACCTTCCAGAAGCAAATTTGATGCATCTGCTGCCAAATGGGCATGCCTCCAGTGTAAATCAAAGAAATTCATTTCTTTTGATATTTCACAGAAGTGCATCTAATTAAAAAACTTACACATAAAATCATACACCAAGACTAACAATCAACAATAAAATATTTTTAAGCTACAAAATGTAAATTACTTTTTAAGTATGAGAAAACAAAAACAATGACATTACGTGTTGTAAAAATCCTTCTTGACACCTGAAACTAAGGGGGAGTGGGGGAGAAACTCCTATTATTAAAAGGCAAATAATTTGTGTTAAAAAAAAAAACCTGGAAAAACACATACACTCATTCCATTTCACAACTCCAAAAAGGTAATGTTCAGCACAGACAGACTTTTGACAACAGTCAACCTTTAGGCTTATTAAAATTTCAGCTTAAGCCCAGGGTAAAAGTAAGCTGGAGACACTGTTTCGTGCTGTTAGACTGCCGTGTAGGTGTTGCCCGTGGCGCTGCACTGCCGGATCGTCTGTGTGCTCGTGACGATGTGCTCGCTGTGCACGGGGCTCAGGAGGCTGGGCTGCACACCACTCTCCAGGACTGGCTGCATGCAGCCCACTGGGAACGCCTGGCTCAGCTCTGTTTTCTCTCTTTTGGCCTGAGGCTCTGAAGAATCATCCAGGTCTTCATCCATCTCACTTTCTACTTCACTGCCTTCATCTGCACAAACACCACCAGAAGACATCAACGCATGTTTCAGGATCACCCGAGTATAACAGCTCACTGAGAAACCTCGGCTTTCCCTAGGGGAGGAAACTTGTAGGCTTTCCTCTTGTGGGATTTTATTCCCATCAGTGCTACAGTGAGACAGCCACAATTCTTTCAGATGTTTGGAATTTTATATGAAATTTCTGTATTGAATAATAGCATAATTTGTGCCATCATAATGTAGTCACTTTGGCATACAATACTGATCTTATGGGGGGGGCATGCACAAATGTTTGCTGTGTTTGGTCCATGCTGACTTAATGTAGATGAGGCCTGTGCTGCTCCACAGAACCACTACCACACTATGACTCACCGTCTAACTACCGTGTAACTATTGCTCTACAGACAGCAAACATCAAACTGAATAAATTCTTAATTCATATGCTAAGAAAAAGCAAACTAATGAAGGGGTTATGGGAGATTTTAAACATGCACAAAGGACATCTTTGCTGGAAGCATTAATTCTGTAAATACTTGTAATTTGTTTCTGGAAATTAAACATATATATTATTCAGTTTTGCTCCCAAATTTTATTACACTGTTATAACTCTTTTTTTTTTTTTTGTGGAAAAACCCCACAAAACTTCATGTTCCACTTGTAGCCAAGGGAAGTCCCAGGGCTAAGAAAGAGTAAATAGAAGCAGCTGCATCCCAACAAAAAGATGATGGCAGATCACAAATTCTGGCCTCCACTCTCCTGAACTGAAAAACTCAACTGGAAAACTATCAAACTCATAAAGGAGGCAGTAGCAGCTCCACCATGGGCAGGCCAGGAAAGGGATGAATGAAGAGTTCCTTTATCCATCATGCTGCAAATAGAAATAGCTCTGAGAAAACAGTCTGAGTAAACTCCAGAGTTCTAGATCTATCTGACTTGACCCTGTCATCTCTGAGTGAGAGGGTTCCTTAGGACAAGCAACAAAGCAAGCCCTTTCTCCAGGCCCTCAGTGCACTTGGATAGCCAGTTGTGCTCCCATTCTGGAAACATTGAGTTTTGTTGCACAAAAGCTATAGTAAGGTACTCTTGGGGTTGATCAAATTCTTTGATTCTTCACTTTATGAAGAAGAGTGGAGGTAAGTGATCACCCACTTAATTTTCTCAGGTTACCACTGCAATTCCTCAGGTTGTACCTCTGCAGCAATACATGCTGGGGGAGACTAACCTTTTCATTTTCCTGCTCTGGTACTAAAATGGAAATTAAGCCAAGAGCAGTGCTAACAGCTCGTCAGAGAGGGATATCCAAAGAGTGGTGATACAGACAGACACAGAGGGGCACTCTGGAAACTTTGGGGCAGCACATTTGGGGAAACAGTGCTGCATGTTTCTGCAGACTCCCAAGCCCTACCTCTGACCTCAGTTTCTCTAGAGGCTCTCCGGTAAGAAGGTATTAACTGTACTTCTTCCTAGAAAAGTCAATAACTGTAACAGTTCTTCAAGTTCCAAGCAGGAAGATAGCTATATTACAGTGGTGTTGCTTTCCTGAAAGACGTGTCATGATTTAAAACTGCATTGTCATTTTAAGAATTGTTCTTTTAAAGTTGGATTGGATTTATGTGTTCTAGTCTTACTCAACTCACCTTTAACCCTTCTATTCTTTGTACTGCATTGTCTTATTGACCATTAGCTTATTCAGGAGGGGGCACATCATGTACACATGGCAGCAGACACTAGACTGACAATACCATCATAGAAATCTATTTACCCTCTCAACTGAACTACTGATCACTGTGGTCTTACAATACACATCACTGCTACCTCTGAGTTCTTTTGCCATTGAGAAGTTAGCTGACTAGTAGATGGGTAAGCTAAGGGGTCTTTTTCTTGCCTGGCTTTGAATAAAACCCTCTGGTCCAATTTTAGAATATTCTTTCAGAATTATGGCCATGGTCAATAATTTTTTTTATTTATAGTGAACTTCTGTGATGAAGTTTAAAGAAGTCTGGAACTGCCTTTAAATTCATCTTCTGCATTCGGTGTATTTCACGGGAAGAAGACATGAAGAAACACCCAGCAACATCACAAGAGATGCAAAGAGCTAGCTGCTGCTTTCCTCCTGGTCTGCAAACTAGAGGATCCCAGAAGATCTCAGTCAAAAAGTCCTTCAAAGTTCTCAGTTCTTACCTTTATCCAGATTTCCAGGAGACACAGCATTTAAATCACCAAACTGCAGAATAACAGACATTTGTGCAATAGTTATTACTTGACAGAATAAAAGAACATTCTATCAGTCTGTGGTAAAAACACCACTCCATGACTTTTTAAAAGTGTGAACTGCTGACCATTTTGCTCCCTAACTAGAAAGGCCATACAATTTTCCAATCAAATGTGTCAAATTTGAAGCTTAAAATATGTTGCGATTGAGCTGTCTTCACCTCTTTGAGAAAGGATAACAATTTTCTTTGGCTTCCAGGCTCCATTTTACTTTTATTTCAGTTTAGCAGTGAAGAAAGAGGCCTGGCTGACCTGATGGTGATGGGGGTGATGGAATCATTTGGAAGCCCCAGTCAAACAGTATACAGCAGCGCCTTTCCTCATGCTTGGCCAGTGAGTCTGGCTGGGACCGTCACTGCTGGACCACACAGCCTTGTAGTTGTGGGGACTCTCATCAGTGAGAGACAGACACAATGGGAGCTCCAGAGCTTAAACAGTCTTTAGGTCACATTGTAAAATTTGAGCCTTCTCTAAATTAATTGATACTCTTATTTACCAAGATACAAAGGCTCCATTATTTTTTTTAAAAGAAAGGAAAGGCATTTGCTACAAGCAATGTGAACAAGAGTTCTCAACACTGTGGAACAATTAATAGCCACGGGCATAGATGTTCCTTTCTACTTTGGTTCAATAGCTTGATGATAATTTAACAGCAAGAAAGTACATTTTGAGTCTCTCAGGGGGAACAAAGATAGATACACTAAATAAAAAACTGACTAGCAGAGGTACAAAGCTAATCCAAAAGAAGCAAAGTGAAACGTAAGGCGTCTGCTTTTAGAAAAGATTCCACGGCATTTTTTTCAAAGTAGTTATTAGAAATTCAGATTTCTCAACAGACTTAAAAAGGATGAGACAGAAATTCTACTTACATTCGGAAGTTTGCTTATAAAGAGTTCCATGATAGGAGTATATTTTTCATCTACAAGGAATGTCTATAAAGTAATAAAACTGATCTTATTTTGCAAACATGTACATGTTGTTTCTTTCCCCACTTAAACAAACACTATGTCCACAGAAGCTACCTCGGGAGCGCATACCTCTGTTCTAAGGTAAGGGTTCTGGAGCAGTCCTCTTTGACAGTCACTTTCAGAGTAAGTTTGTGCATAATTCCAGAAAGTTTGTACTGTCAGCTCACTTCCAATTATGACTCCATATCTCTGTTCACTGCATTTGGTCTTGGACTTTATTTGCTTATAAAGAGTTCCATATTCAAATCAAATTCATCTTTGTCATAGTTCAGGGGATTTATAATAATATATCCCTTTACTCCTTGTGGTTCTTAGCATTACAAAAGAAGATTAAGGAGAGGCATTCCACTCTATCGTTAAGCCACCGTTAAGCAGCTTTACTGGAATAAATGCATAGCTTTTCCAGGTGACTGCTTCTAAGGGAAGGGGCCTCCTGAACATGCAACTCCTACTCCATGTGCTGGAGATGCTGCCCCACTACTGACAGTTCTATCTTACTGGGCAGCAAATCATAGCTACTGAACTGCTGTTTTGAAGAAGACCCTGAGTGCATGGGCCAAGGTCCTATGTACATTTAAATAAAATTCAAAGTATAAATTATATACGGTTTTTGAATCACAGAATATAAAACAAACAACAAATATTCAAAGGGATTATTTATCCACCTTAGATCTTAGTTAAACATTTAGAACTATAGACAGAGGACATTCAAAATTCAGAATCATTATATTATCATTTAATAATTCTTAGGATCTAGTTCTTGAAATGAGCTGGCAGTCATGACTCTAAGCACATCTCTGCTTATAAAAAGGTGAGGATAGGTTGTATATCCCTTATCTGAATGCTTGGGAGCAAAAGTGTTTCAGATTTCAGACTTTTTATAAATATTAGAATATTTGAAAACATATAATGATTATGGATGGAACTTAAGTAGAAACATAAGATTCCTTGGTTTTATATACAATTTATATACCTAGCCTGATGGCAATTGTAGTATTTTTAATGCACATAATTTTTGAGTGTACCCCATCACATGATACTTGCAGTATTACAGTGGTACTCAAAACTGTCATATTTTGAAATATTTTTAAGTTTTGAATTATAGTAGTTCAAATTATAATGCATTTGTTAACTTAAAAACCTTAAAGACACTTGTTACTACACATAAAGGTTTTTCTTAGAAACTCTGCTTAACTTGGATGTGTCTGACTATTTGTAACGATGAAAACAAGCCATCCAACCTAAAACCACCTATTGTTACTGTCATCAGCAAAACAGCACATGCGCACATGCACACACACACACACACACACACACACACACACACACACACACAGATTGCTTTTCAAAATTCTCCGGGCTGGATGATGTACAAAGAGCAGCAAAGACACTGCCAATGTCCTCAGACATCTCTGGATTAATGACAAAGTTGTACACACATAGCAAAAGAAGATAATAGATGAGAAATCAAAGAATCCAATGAAGAAGTGAAGTGATTTTAATAGACTAAAGAGAGAATTTTTAGGTGTATTTCCTTTGTGAGAGCAATATACATGTACACACACATATGATGTGTAGTAGGCTGGGTAAGATTTAGCATCAGTTCATCTGTTCAGTTATTAAATAAATTCTTAATGAGCACCTACCACATTTTGAACACTGACCCAAACAGTATCAGTCAGATCAAGTTAGAAAATCCTCTTATGGAAGTAACTATAAGTTGCTTCTGGTATGAAGAGGCTGGGTAGGCAAGCAGGAAAATGAGGCAGCCCAAGAAACCTTAGGGGTCAAAAATGACAAATGGAAATCAATTGAACGGGTTTAAGGTTTCAGCAGCCGATCAAAGAAGTGGTAGAAAGGCATGAGAGGGTACAGAGAGGAGACACATGGGAGAGCAAAGAGGAGACACGGACCCTCACCGGGTCAGAAGAGAAGGAAGCAATATAAGATGTGAACAGAAATGAACAAGGGGACTCATGAGAAAGCCTGGGTTTTGTAAACCTCTAGTTGCAGAAATTGGTGAAGCTTCTTTTGTGGAGTTTTTCTGCTGTAGAAAGGACTGGAGCAGAGAGGAGCTACTGTGCATTGATATGACAGTACATACACACAGAGTGCATTAATTAGTGGTCCAGTATGTTTTCTTCCAAATACGTATGGCCTCATGGGTCACTTTCTGAAGATACTTTCTTGAAGAAGCCTTTCCCAGAAGCTCTACCTAAAGTACCTCATTCCCCACCGCTCCCAATAACTGGACCAGCTACTTCCTTCCCAGGGCCTTCAGCAGCACCTGCAGCGCTGACCTTGTCTGCTCATTTAGTATGTGTTTGAACTATAACACTGGTGCCACAGCATGAGGACTCTATCCTGTCACCAATCCATTCCAAACCTTAGCGTGGCGTCTGATCCCCATTGTGAAGAGGAAATGAATGTTTACAGACACATGCGCCCGTTTTTTCACTTTAGCCTCTCAAACAAAACTCAGTATGTGTCAAGGCAGAGGAACTGGATTCCATCCTATAATTACAAAAAAAAAAAAAAAAGTGAGTTGATTTGCCTACCACCACTTAGTAAACATGTGATGTTACATTTGAGGCCAGGTATTTTCATTTTAAAGTTATGAGAAAGAAAGAGATTTTGGAGGTGGGGAGAGGGATATAGAGATCTCATATTTTTGTAAGAAATATAAATATATAAATTAAGGGATTTAAAAAGTGCTCTTGTAGAAAATGCATGGCATTCAGTGCGCCAAGGAATTAAAATTATGTCAACCAGATGAACAGGAAATTCTGTAAAGTCAAAACAAGCATGGATTAGAGAAAAGGCATGGCATGGATGAAGGCAGAGTCTGCCTCAACTAGTTCTGTTGCTTTGAAGAGAAAAACTTAGTCTGAGAAACCACTTCTGTAGTAGATTCTAACCAGAGGTCCCAATACTGAATCCCCCCGAGAGGCACAGATGCCCAAGAGTATATTTAAGCACTGCAGTCCCTGGCAGCCTGGCAGTCCACAGGGATACGAATAATGACTATGCAGTGTGAGGGCCAGCGAGTCAGCATGGCAAGGGCATCTCTTCAGTAGGCCTCCGGGAGCCACCAAGCAGTTGAGGGGTAGCTCTTTGCAGGACGCAGAGGCTTCATGTACCCAAGAAGATCACAGAGGTGAGAACTGGCCGTGCGACACGAGGTAGTCAGTTCGGAGAATGAAGGGGAAACTAAAATTGAGATTGTTAAATGTATGTGGCTGGAGATGAGAACACCTTTAAGTTCCTCATCCAGGGAGGGCCTAGACGCAACTCTAACACTGAAGCTCCACAGTAAGGGATAGGACAGCCTGGTTTGTTAGCACCATCCCATAGTTCCATGAGGTCTACACTGCACAGAGGATGCAGTCAGATGCCCAGTTGCTGGCGTGTGAGCAGACCCCTGGTAAGCATTCCTACTTACTGACCTTGAGCTTCAGCAGCTGACAGGCCATGGAGTGAGGAAAGCTTCAGTTACCGAAGCTTCTTCCTCCACGAGTGTCAGTTACTGCAGGGGAACCTACACAGACCCAGGATGAGGGCATGCTGGCCTAGGGTGCAGGCCAGTCTTGAGCTATTTATCTGAAGTTGGCCTTGAACTTTCTACCACCTGCTCTACATCCCAAGTGCTGAGATCATAGGCATGTTCTACCATGCACTTCCCAGTCTGTATATAAAGTCTGAATGGACTCCTTCCCTTACTCCTGCCATTTTACAATCACGTATGAAATTTTTCAATCATTCCTAGTAGTTAACATTGGATCCAAGCCTGGCTATGACAGTCTAAACCTAATTATATTGGTGCTCTTCCCTAACACTGGCATTTTCTTTCTAATTGACTTATTTCTCCATTCTATTTTGTTGGTCATGTTTTTCAAATCACTGAATTAATTTGCCTCTGATTATCACTTTGGCTACATACCAAAGAATGCTGCCGGATTCTTTGTAATTCTATGGATTATTTGATTCAGTATTCAAAGACTGTAGGCTATTTTTTCTGTTACAATACAGCATTATTAAAGACCGCATTATGCTTTGTTATTCTTTCTGTTTATTTTAGCGCCTGAGTTCACCTTTGTTGGACCAAAAAGTGATGGTCTAATTATACAAATCATTGCTTGAAATTATAAGTACACAATCAATTAAATCTTAATAAAAGACAATCAAATACACTTTTGGGCAATGCATAGAATTTCAATGTTTATAAACTTATGCAAAAGGGATAGGAATGGAACTGAGATCAAGTACTTACTACTATGTGTCTGTCTGTGTCTCTATCTCCCCTATTTACCGCACAATGCCAGCAACAGGGCACCTGGCTGCCGGACTCTGACAGTGCAGACCTCACAGCATCACAGGGCAGTGCTAACACAAACAAGCTTTACAAGGTCTTTGTTGCTGCAGCCGGTGATGTGGGGTGGTACTCACTGGAAGACAAGGCTGTAGTATACTACTCCTTACTGTATGACTCCACCTTCACCTTACCAATTTAACCCTCAGAATGGTTCCAACAATAAACTGTCTTTAGACTTACTTTACTGATGACAAAACTAAGACTCAAGCAAGAGTAAGTAGAACTATTTAACTATTCAATTTAAAGTGACGAGCACAGCAGAGCAAGAACACACAGGAAACGGACCAGCTTGACTGGATTTAAATCACAATTCTGACAGTGCAATCGACGTGATTCTGGGCCAATTATACTGTTGGAACTTCTGATTTCCTTATCAAGATTAAATATGCACATTTACCTGAAGGAAGGTCTAGAACAGAGACAAAGCCAAACTGTCTTCACACCCAGTTTCCCATCACTGTGGATAGAACCCTAAACTTCCATAACCATTGAAGATGATATCAAAAGGAAGAACTCTCTGCTGAAGAGGGCTGTAGCAACCCCAGTCTGTTAGGCTTTGGCCTGAGGTTGCTGACACTATACATTCCATGTA